GTCCCGGTGGTGCATGGTTCATTTCCAATACTACTATGCAATGGCTCATTGCTATTAAACAGTAGTGTTGGCATCACAGTTTGTGCCTGCTGACACTACATTGCCATAGCGACGAGCTATGTCACCGTAGCACACTGCTACAGTGTCATAGCATCCTGTGTAGATGGCCCACTGACAACTTGTGAGGGTTCGCAAAAGTTTGCATGAAAGGTGTGGGACTGCATCCTTGGGTGTTTTAGTTCCTATTAGTAAACTAGCCAATTACCCATCAAGAATGATAGGAAGGGGTGCAGGTGGGGAGAGAGGCCTGCGTCCGGCACCCCCTCCCACCTTTGGGGCTGGGCCTGCTCCCCCTTTCCCCATTCTGCTGTGGGCCTGGGCCTGGCCCCTCCCACCCTCCCCATCACTGATGCGGGATTGGGCCCCACCATTGTGGGGCTGCAGCTGAGCCTACCCCCTGCCTTCCCTGATGCTGTTTCAGGGCTGGGCCAGGCCACACTGCTCCCCTCCACCCTCCATTTCGGGGCTGGGACGGGTGCATCGGGAGGGAGCAGCACAGGAGAGAGAGGGGGCAAGGTCAGCAGCGCTCCCCGACCCTGCTCCTCCCTGCGCCGCTACCACCACCTCCAAAGAGCGAGGTGGTGGGGGGGGGCAAGGCCACCATCATGGCAGCACTCTACCACACCACCACCTCCTGTCTGAATGCTTTATTCACACTCTGATTGGTTGTTTCCATCAGCCAATCAGAGTGCCAATAAAGAGTTATGGACAGGCAGACTAAGGCTTTTATAATATTAGAATACAGGTGTGTCTGCTTTACTTTGAACAACCACAAACCATGTGCAATCATGTTTAAACTCCACCGAACACAAGTTTTACTGTTCAATTTATCAAGAAACAAACTTTGTGTAACTGCCACTATCCATCAGAATTAATAAATATACCATCCTTATTTGAAAAGCAGATGAAAAATGCGTATATTATAGCAAAACTTTCTGATATTTTGCAACATCTACCTCAGAGTTAAAGTTTTTCTTTCTGAGAGAGTCCTACAGTATAATGCATAAAAGTGTTTGAAGCTGTAACTCAGATGGACCCTGTTGCTTCTTAAGTCTTATGTAGGTTAAACTCTTGCAAAGTAACTTTTCAATCATTGAAAAAGCATCTTTGCTACATCTAAAAGTAGGTGCAATTTAATTATAAAATAACTATTTATATTATTGAATGCAAAAATGAGAAATCAATTCTTTAAATTGCACATACTGTGCTGGATTTAACCCTACAAGATTAATGTTAGATGAGGCCTCATGGTTTATGCATGCGAATACAGTTTAATGCAATCATCAGTTCTAGTTTTTTATTGTCTGAATAGCCATTAGATGCTAATATAGATGCTACTTCCTTAGCAGGTAAAACCAGAAGTAATAATTGGCACTATAGATTTGTATCACAGCAGTATTTCTATTACTGTTTAAAGGCATGGACTTTGATCTTCAGATGATCCATCCATCAGCTGGAAAGTACCCAGATTCTCTTATACAAGCGGAAAAAGTCTTACCTCCTTGATTTTCAAGTGTTTGATCACAAGAGAAAAACTCAGATTAACTGAAAGTTGTGCAAAACTTAGTCTATAAAATTTTCCTGAAAATACAGCTTTGTACATACATTGTTCCTACTGAGAGCTAACTAGATTTAAGTGGTGACTTTCATCTGTGAATGTTAAAAGGAAAGCAAAGTCTGGAACCTAGTCACCCTTTGGAATACATTCTAGGTGTTTCTTATTCCCTTCCTTGCCCTCTGCCTTGGAGTTAACCATTAGAACAAAACATATGCAAGCCTAAGTGAGGGTGGTTCCTTGTTCTCCATCAGTGCTGACCTCATGAAGGAACAGCTTGAGAGCCTGGACACCTTCAAGTCAGCCGGCCCTGACAATTTACACCCCAGACTACTCAAGGAGCTGGCCTGCATCATAGCTTAGCCCCTGGCACGGATCTTCGAGATCTTGATCAGAGATCAGGAAAACAGACCTTACGACAAGAGACTGAGAGCTATAGGACTCTTCAGCCTGGAAAAGCGCAGGCTCAGGCATGATCTGATGGCCACCTATAAGTTTATAAGGGGTGTTCACCAGGATCCGAGGGAACGTTCGTTCACCAGAGCACCCCAAGGGATGACAAGGTTGAACAGTTATAAACTCCTGCAAGACCATTTCAGGCTAGACATAAGGAAGAACTTCTTTGCTGGCTGAGCCCCCAAGGTCTGGAATGGCCTGCCGCCAGAGGTGATTCAAGCACCTACTTTTGAATGCCTTCAAGAGAAACCTGGATGTTTATCTTGCTGGGATCCTATGACCCCAGCTGACTTTCTGTCCCTGGGGCAGGGGGCTGGACTCGATCTTCTGAGGTCCCTTCCAGCCCTAATGTCTATGAAATCTATGAGCGGTCTGTCATTGAAGGTTCCCGGAGTCCATTGGGTGCAGAGGGGGGTTCTTCATCTTCATCTGTATTTCCCTTCTGATTTCATCTTTTTGGTTCATGACTCTTAACATCTACTGATAAAATTCAGTTTGTTTCTGCTTACTATCACCTCCTAAAATCATATTCTCTGTGAAAGTATCATGCTGCATAGAACACATGGATTCTGTTTACATTGCTAATGTTGGAATAAATTATATAACTTTTACCCTAACTTATGTAGCTTTTGTATGTGTACTACAGGTGAACCTCTACCAGCTATCAACCAGTTCTGTAAGGCCAGGTACAGACATTACACTTTTACCAGTACAGGTGATTGGAGCACACCAAACCAGTGTATACCTTCCCCCTCCCCCCCGCCCCTGACTAGAAGATGACTGTGAGTTCTGTTCACTACCAATATAAAGTGTGCCATTTACAGAAAACCCTATAACTTGGATTGATTCTGCCTCGGACCTAAAAGTCCAATGTGAACATAGATATTTCTGCCCCAAGTTGTAAAGTCCAAAAACTCTATGAAGTTCAGAGTGCCAGCTTTTCAATGTAAACAAATTTCATTTTCCAAGTCAGTCTTAAAAATCTGCCCAGATCTTATCTGCTTAAATTTGTACAACTGAGCTGAAGGTACCATGCTTAAAAATAACAACTTCTTGCTCTGCACTTGTGCAGCCATAGCTGGTTAGTTCATTATGCATTTCACAGAAGAGCTCTTCTATTAATCATCTCGATGGTAGCTTTAAAACTGATCTGTATTTATTGCTGACACAGTAATGCCACAGAATGTACTCAATGAAATAATGGTACATTTTGACTTCTATTCATATAAAGCAAGTAGTATTGGTTAGGGGTTTTTAAGATACAGTTAGGCCCTATGCATTAACAGTAGCAACGAACCCATATGCCAGCAGCAGTTACTGTATATTTACAGGGAGAAGTTCACCTGCAATAGTGGTAATGATTCACAGGTTTGCTCAGGGAAGGCAGATTTAACTTGTCACTGGAACTACACAGGAATATATAGAAGGCTACATTAATCAGTGAGTCTGCAAGACATTTTGGCTTGTCTCCCATGTTATCCAGAGCTGTCCAGTTCTATAGTTTGTGCTGCCCAGCTAAGGGTTTCCAGATATATTGCACTGTAGAAACCTTTCTTTAAGCACAGTTTCTACTACTGAACACCTTTCACTCTGTTTCGCTCTGGTGTAAGTATCAAGTTTCCAACAAGACACCAGTTAACCTTTTAGCTCAATATTTCTCTTTTTTTTTTTTAATGGTTACAGGGTCAAGCAGTGGAAACTGCCATTGTTGTTGTTGTTCATGCAGTAATAAAAAAGGAAAATATGAATCTGTTCTCTGGCATGTACTGTAGATATTGGGTTACTACTTGTATGGTAAACCAATTCAGAGATGACACAGCTCTTTCAAAGTGTTTAATACTTCAAATAGTCTGTATGGTAACCTTTGTGCTCTTAATGAGCATGAGCATCTTGGCTCCTCAGCCCTGCAGTTGAACGTTGCCCTTCCTGATATGTATGGCATTTGTCCTATTTGTTAAATCATTACCCTGTCGGTCACTTATCCTTGGGACCTATCAAAATCTTTTGCAAGATGATACTTTGTTGAGGAGCCAGGTTGGCAGATGTTTGCAAAGAGAAAAGGCAGAAAGATAACTTACGGATCTACTGTCCACAAGGCTTTGCTTCAAGATACAGGTCAATGGTGTCATTGTAGTCTTTAGAAACAATGTATAAATGTTGCCAGCATATGCCACTATCTTTTGTTTTTCAAGTGGCTTCCTTGGTTTTTGGATATGAGAAAGCATTGATTTTAAGTAGATGCTTTGATGTCTCTCTTCTGCAAGGACCAGAAGAGCACATCTTAAGTGGGTAGGGAAGAATTCTTTGCAGGAATTCCTTGACTTAAAATATTGGCAGTGTATACTGGCCACATGCACTTGTGCTCTGATGAATGAAAAATCAGGTAGGTTAATACTGGTAATGGAATATAGTAGTCAATTGTCAGTTGTAAAAGTAACTATGTTAGGAGCTCAGAGCTAAAACTCCCACTTAATTGATTGTTGAAATCTGATGCTGTGCCACAAATGGTTGACTATTAATAGCAGACTCCCATGTTTGTCTACTAATATTATTATCTTCTATCCATAACAAATATCCTGGTTTTAGAGTTAGAACTGATAGAGTTATAATTACATTAAAATGTGCCTTTTTCACTAACATATACAGTACATTCTCAGTTTGGATTGTTCATTATGGCTGAGGGAAAGGTGTATTCCTTGTGAGGTGTAATACTATCCTCTAAAAATACTGAAAGACAGCTAAGCAAATATTGGTAGGGGACATTGTTGTGCCATATATATAGGCATAGCAGAATTTGATTTTTATCGGTAAACATTGATAAATGTCAATTTCACCTCACACTCTCAGATTGATGAAAAATATCAATCAGCAACAACTAAACCTTATAGAAAGGGGACGTAAGAAAAGTGATGGCTGATGGAGCGCCATGATGACCGTAGCTTGTACTGCAACTCTCCAGAAACCTCAGGGGACTGTGAGCAAAGGAAGAGAAAGGGACAAAGCAGGTAAGGGAACTACAGGATAGCAGAGCCAGGACTGATGGCAACTCTGCCGCTCAGCTGGTGGCAGAGCTACAGTAACATAACTACGGTAACATAACTTCTCCCTGTAACATAACTACGGTAGTTATGTTAGTCATTAATTAATAAATTGTCCACCCCTTCACTCCTAATTTTGCTCAATCCTGAAAATTTAAATTGATAAAAATCTAAATAAATGCTTAAAAATAAAGATTGATATTATTTGTCAAAATTATTAAAAAAATAAAAATTGGGTTTTTCCATGCCTATGTATAATAGGCTGAAGGAAAAGCAACCCTTGTTCCAATCTTCATATTGTTGAGAATTATGTTTTTCTATTAATTTCATACCCAACTCAATTTTTAATCCCTGCTAGCCCAATTCATTTTTTAAGCAGTACCTTATTAAGGTCTAGAAATTCACTCAGGCAGCAGAAAAGATATAACAGTATTCACTGATTAGAAGCTGAAGGTAAACACCTTCAGAGTGGAAATAATGCATACATTTTTAACTGTGCAGGTAATCCAGGCACTCAGAAAGATTTACCCTCAGGGGTTTTGAATTATCTATCAGTTGAAACCTTTAAATTAAACCTGTGCATCTCTCACAAATACATATTATACCTCAAACAAAAGTTGAGCTTGATGCAGAAATTACTAGGTGAAGTTCTTTGGGCTGAAATATGCAGAAGGTCAGGTTAGATTACTGGACTTGGTGAGTTTGCTAGGGAAGGTATGCTTGGAAGAAGGGCAGTCAGAGAGGAGAGGCAGATTAAGAGACCCAAAGAAATGGCTGGAGGATGTTGCAATGCCAGAGCCACTGCCACTGCCTTCTTTTGCCCCTGTGAGGTTTCTGTCCAGGCAGGACCACTCACCATCAAGGCTTACACTCAGGTCCAGGTTTGGTGCTGTGGGGACTGCAGCTTGTAGGTTCTTTATGGTGACAGCCAGGTCAGGGAGTGCCTGCGGTGTGAGCAGTGCCTCCTGGTGGTGTGCCTCAGGGTACAAACAAGAGAGCTGCAGGAGGAGGTGGTGAGGCTCTGAAGCATCCTCTACCAGTTCATTGATTTGATGCTAATAATGTTTTGGGGAAGCCATTTGATGAAATACCCATGGAACATGGAGGAATCTAACGCAAAATTGTTAAAAAGCTATAGTTACTTGGGTGTGATGTTTACAGCTTTTCCATCAAGGAAACACTACATTCAGTTAGTTAAAACTAAGGCAGCCCAATTGGCAGTGGCTATCAAGAAATTTTATGAGACCACAGCAGGATGATTAGTCCAAGCTCCTATATTAACATATAAAGCCAAACTTGAGTCTCAGATCCTGTACGGCGCTGAAGTATGGGTATGCAGCCAGTAATGATGTAGACATACCTCAAAATAAGTTTCTCAGGGATCTTCTGGGTCTTCCTTCTTCAACTTCTGTATCCTTCTTGGAATTAGAGACAGGATTAGATTCTATTTTAACTAATATTATTATTAGTATGATGGAATTCTGGTTTTAAATCCTGTCTCTCCTACCATCTTGCTTGCTCAAATTGTGCTATATAGAAGATATCAATAATCCCCCTTCTCGTAATCCCCCTGGCTAGCTTTTCTTTCCTGTACTTTTGTATTTCTCGGGATGGGACATAATGTCAAAGACAATAGATTCATAGATTCATAGATATTAGGGTCGGAAGGGACCTCAATAGATCATCGAGTCCGACCCCCTGCATAAGCAGAAAAGAGTGCTGGTCTAGATGACCCCAGCTAGATACTCATCTAACCTCCTCTTGAAGACCCCCAGGGTAGGGGAAAGCACCACCTCCCTTGGGAGCCCGTTCCAGACCCTGGCCACTCTAACTGTGAAGAAGTTCTTCCTAATGTCCAATCTAAATCTGCTCTCTGCTAGCTTGTGGCCATTATTTCTTGTAACCCCTGGGGGCGCCTTGGTGAATAAAACCTCACCAATTCCCTTCTGTGCCCCCGTAATGAACTTATAGGCAGCCACAAGGTCGCCTCTCAACCTTCTCTTGCGGAGGCTGAATAGATCCAGTTTCTCTAGTCTCTCCTCGTAAGGCTTGGTCTGTAGGCCCTTAACCATACGAGTGGCCCTTCTCTGGACCCTCTCCAGGTTATCCGCATCCCTCTTGAAGTGAGGCGCCCAGAATTGCACGCAGTACTCCAACTGCGGTCTGACCAGCGCCCGATAGAGGGGAAATATGACCTCCTTGGACCTATTTGTCATGCATCTGTTGATGCACGATAAAGTGCCATTGGTTTTTTTGATGGCTTCGTCACACTGCCGACTCATGTTCATCTTGGAGTCCACTAGGACTCCAAGATCCCTTTCCACTTCCGTGCCACCCAGCAGGTCATTGTGCTGTTAGATAGGAGGGTGTAACACAATTGCACATATACAAACACACAAATCAATTAGGTGTATACACACACACACACACACTACCAGCTTAGGCACATACACATTCAAACCAGCCTAGGCACATGCATACCTATTACCAATTCAAGCACATACACTATACACCCCAAAAGTTAGTCACAGATCGCTAATTCGTATATCAATATCATACACACAATGTCATATATATATACATATATACAGACACACACACACACAC